TATGTCAAACTTTACCATTTTATAATTTCTTTGTGCTGCTACTGCAAAAATTAATCTTGTTGCACTATCACCAATGACTGGACTATAATTTTCTTCAAAAACTGTACCAAATTTTTGTTCGCAACCTCTAACAACCAATCGGGCTTTGTACACTCCATCATCTTTAATTTTAAATACCCATCGGTTTGATAATATCTTTTTTCTTTCATTACCTTCTTTATTTACTAAAGTCCAGACATCATTTTCCTCAAGTGATTTTTTTTCTTCTTCTATCGCTTTCTTCCAGTTAATGCTATCTTCTCCTTGAATCGCCTCTTCATATGATAAATAAACATAATCTTTTAATTTCTCTGGTGGTCTTCTGTTTCGTTGTTTTCTTTCTTCTTTTTCTTCTTCATTTTCCTTTTTTGTTTCTTCATTATTAGTGGTCTCTTCTGTATTTCTTGCTTTTTCTATTATATCTGTGTTTTCTTCTTCCTTTTCATCAATATCTTCTTCTGTTATGTCATTTATCTCTTCTCCATCTGTTTTATCTTCACCAAAATCTTGTAGTGTCCAGTTTTTCTTATTGTTTACAAATTTTACATCTCTAGATATCACAACCATTCTTTTCCCTTCATCGTACAATCTATACCCATTTGATGAGTATCCAATGAATAAGTATTTTTCGCTTCGTTCATCCAATTTTTTTTGATATCCCAATCTCTTTGCATAAGCATTCACTCCAAAAATCTGTATATTTCCCAAGTTAGGTTTTACATCTGTCCATAACTCATATGGTGTTTTATTCTCATTGACAGTTGGTGATCTGTTTAAGAGATATGCTGCGACTCTTACGGCTTCTCCCCATAACTCTTTGTTTACGTTTGTTTCGAAAATCATGGATCTTGCCTTTTCTAGAATTGTCCTATTTAATCTCTCCGCTTTACCGTTTAACTGTGGTGTGTGGGGAATTGTGTAATCCATGAATATACCTCTTTTTTTTGCCCACGTTTTTAAATCGTTGTTTACATATTCTTTTCCATTATCACATCTTATTTTACTTGTTTTTATATTCAATTTTGCTTCGGATTGATTTACATATTCTTTAATCGCTTCTGTGGCTTCAAATTTACCATTCAATAAGTATACCATCGTAAAATGAGTAAAATCATCTAAAAACGTAATAAAATACTTCATTCCGTCAAATGTTATTGGATCTATTGGTCCACAAATATCCGTATGGATTATTTCTAGTGGCCGAGTTGCTCTTTGCCGTACTTCATTAAACGGATTCCTCGTATGTTTCGCTTTAACACACACTTCACAGAATGTGTTTTTTAGAATATCAAAATCCTGTGGCTTTAAATTCAAACCTTCACTATCCCTTGTAATCTTCTCATGTTGTCCACACCAAGGTGCCCTAACCTTCTGTGCCAATCCATTTTGTCGTTGTACGTTGTTGCCGAATGAACTTCTTCCTTCTTTCTTAATATTTCAATTTCATATAATCCTTTTTCATTCTTCTTACCTTCTAAAATCATGTTTTTATTTTTGTATACCTCTACCTTTTCAGCTTCAAATATTACTGTTCCTCCATTTTGTGTAATTTTATTTACCGATAAAAGGTTTTTACTCAAATCCGGAACATATACAACATCTTTTAATGTACAACATCCTGTTGTAATATTTCCAGTTCCTTGTGCTGTCATTTTTTCGTTTTGTTTAGCGGTTCCAATTTTTGTATTTTTCTTTATTATTTCTTCAAACATACCTTCCACATTTGACATGTGTGCTGTTGCTCCTGAATCAACAATCCATTTACCTTTTTTTGAATTTTCTCCACTTTGAACTTCTGTTAAAAATGTTACGTCTTGTTTGTTCTTATTATTTTTATTCCTAAAATAGCAATCTTTCGACTGATGATTATTTTTCTTACATATGATACATTTAAATTCAGCCTTTTTACAGTCCCTTTTTAAATGCCCCTTTTTATTACATTTGAAACAAGTTTTATTCATTAAATAAGAATTTTTCTTTGTTGTATCATTAGCTTTAAACGCTACTTGTTCTTCATTTTTTTCTTTGGTTTCATTTCTATTTTCTTCACACAATAAACGAGCAGTTAAGTTTGTTAAATTTCGTTCGGTTTTAGGCGTCGATTCCCATGCACTAACAAAATGTTTGTATGTTACCGGCAATGTTGATAAAATTTTAGTTATTATCATTGTTTCGTTAACCTCTTGTTTTAATAATTTTAACTTATGTGCTAGATTTTCCAAATTAGAAATATGCTGTGTCATGTTACTTCCTTTTTTATATTGATAATTATAAAATTCTTGTAATAGTTCATATTTTTGATGTTCCGTATCTTGTTCAAAAATTATGCATAACTTATCATACATTTCCTTAGACGTTTTACAATTTAATAAATGTGCCACGATTGACCTGTCTACAGTTGTTATTATCAGCTTTTGAGCTGCTGCATCCTTTTTATCCCATGCGTTTTTTTTTTTCATCACTTTCGGGACGATTTTCTTCTCCGGTAACTACGTTGTACAGCTCCTTTGCTTTCAAAAATATTGTTACTTGAAATTTCCACATATCGAAGTTGTATGTGTCTTTTAACATTTCTATATTTACCAGTTCTTCAGCCATGTTTTATTAATTTCTTTAACCAGAACGTTTTACTTGTTATTTTACTTTCAATTTTTAATTTAGCCGACCTGGGCCCATAACCTGTTGGTTTTTTATTAATGTTACTTTAATAAAGTATTTGTTGATAACTGAAGAACTATTTATTGTTTAACATAAAGCATACACACTTCTTTATAAAACTCATACAGCACTAAACTTGATTAAAATACTCATTAACCGCGTGTCATCTTAACTTGGTCTTAACGATTTTTTTTTCTAACCTCAACATTCTAACGACTAACTGCCAAACTTGTGCCAACCTAAAAACTACTTCTAATAACATATTATAGATGGCGTACCCTAATACGAAACTCATTCGTTTAAAACATTTATTTATTTTAACATTCTAAAATAACCTTTTTTTACAAGAGAATTGGAAATCGAAAAAATACAAGGGAAATTGATAGCTGAACGTTGTGTATTTTTTTATAAAGTTTAGTCATCAATTCTCTTGTATATTGTTCGTCGCAAGCCTATGTAATTAGATAATCAAATCAATTCAGATTTGTTTGCGGTTTCTGTAAACGAGTATACAAATGTATTAAAGTAATATTACATGCAAGAATCTAACTTACTTGGCTTTGAACCCACATCCAACACACGACATTTACTTTTCCTAAGGTTTTGTCGGTTCCATGTGGTCCAATTGTTGTTAACTTCTGTTGGTTTATGTAATTCAACTGATTGATTTTTGACAATTTCTTGTTGTACGAGTTCTTCTATAACTAATTGTACTTTACGCTACTCAGTGTTGGCATCCACTGGTGTAGAAGACAACACTTTATTATGTAAGAAAACTGGTGTTCAAAATTGATGTTCTTTTACATCAATTTCTGCAACCTCCGTTAAAACTAAATTACAATTAGGTACGGAATCAGAATCGTACATAGATGGTAACCCTTCTACACTTAATAATATGAGCCCTAAAAGAATAAAATTATCTCCTTCAAATATCATTTAAAATAAATTTTACCTTTGATTCTTTCTTCAATAGATGTGAGCATTATTTCTTTTTGAAGCCCTCCACCATTTCCCATCGCGTTTTGTCGAATTTGAGCACATTTACTTCTCACTTGTTTCTTTAACATATCATACTTGGCTATAACGCCTTTTGCATCCAAAAGGCAAATTCCAGTTACCACCGTTAGTCCGAGGGCTATTTCTATCCAGATCTATCAAAAGGATTTACATAAATATATTCTTTACCATCACATTTTAACGTACAATAATACGAGATATACATACTTTTTGCTTTCCTTGCCATGTAACTGCATCACATTTTTTGCTTTCTATTACGTTTTTATGTTTGATAACAAATTCAAGAAGATGTTCGCATTCTTCTTTGGTGAAATTGGTGGTTCGTCGCCTTTTCTCAGTCTCCATTTCCAAATTTTAATTTTAAGGTTAGAACAGGTTAGAATATCGTCACAATACCTAATAGTAGGTCTTTAACCACATAGAGCTATCAATTTAATCAAAGTTTTCTTAACTATGAGATAAATGGAGGTGGTAGTATCCACCATCCATCTACGAGATAAATTGTATCTTATAGATAGCTTAACTGACAGATAGCATTGGTTTGGTAGTAACGGGCCTTGACAAATTAAAATGTAAATAGGAAAATTGCGGTAGAAAACATTTATTATATATAAATATAAAAAATATAAATAAAAAGTTAATACAATAAAAAAATTTATTATGAGTCAAAAATATCAATTTTTTCGGATTTATTAGTGGTTTGTTTATTTAATAAATTAAGTTTCTTACATTCTAAAAATAGCTGTTTTTTGACTAAAATATCTAGAAAAGATTCTAAGTGATTTTCGGAATTTACAAAATGGTGGTCAAACTCTTATTTTTACAGGATGTTTAAAATTTTTTTCACTAAACGTTACCTCATGTATCTTTTATACAAATAATTGTGAATGTGTAATCGAAACTGAATTAGCGATGTGAATGTTATACTTTTACAAATTTCTGACGGTACATTTAAGGACATATTGTTAACCCATTAATGTACACTATTTTTATTGTGCAAAAATTTACTTTTTGTGTGCAATTTGTAACAAATATCACCTCTTAAATACTAAAAAAAATATGCAAAAAAATCAAACTGTATACATAACTTAGTAACGTCAGGGGTCGTTAACGACCCTCTGGGAACATAGGTATAGAATAAAAATAGACTATTACATTTTTCACTGATAGACTGAAATCGACTCGTTTCTCTACAAAATTTGTTGTAATGGTCTGTCTTCTGGGCGCACAATAATCTGACGGTACATCTTTTCGATGTCAGAAGCATATACGATGCGATGACGTCGTCAGCGAAGCAAAACATCTGCTAATTCAGTTTGTAATTTAGGCCCAACATGAAGATAATCATTGAGTGAAAATCCGTTAGATGTTTTATGAGATCCGTTAAATACTATGTTCGTACCAAAAGGGTCGAACCTAAAAACAGGTGCTGGTAAGCGAAGTAAAAAAAAATGAGTAATAAATGAAATTGTATTAATAAAACAAAAATTAAACTTATAATGTGATTAATGGGCAAAATTGAAAAGATAATAATAGTTATTTATGTACCAAGTCAGCAAAGTGATGCTTTATCGAACGAGTCTGAGTTTGCGAGTCGAGCGAGCGAAGCGAGCGAGGCGAGTAAACAGGCGAGTTCGATAAAGACACTTTGCTGACGTGTTGCATACAACATTTTATCGCCAATTGCAAAATTTAACGATATGAAGATATTGGTACTTACCAATATTATGACATATGACAAACGATTTGTTTTGTTAATATACCTCGGTAAAGTTACACTACGTATGAGAGGTCGGTAGTATGGTGGAAAGGCAGTGCGCTTTCAAGTAGGAGGTACCGGGTTCAAATCCCGGTGTTGTTTTACGAGATTTTTTTCAAATTGACAGCATTTAGCGGCAGGTAATAGTATATTAAAAAACAAGTTTCGTAAGACACGTTTGAAATGCACGAATTCAAGTTGAAAAACGAGTGGCGAAGCCACGAGTTTTTTAATGAATGAGTGCTTTAAGTCTTATGAAACGTGTTTTTTATGCTATTTTTTGTAATTCGCGTTTTTATCCTTTTTTTTAACAAAAATAAAGTAAATTTTGACAATGTAGGGAAATAGGTATGTAGCAGTTGGTAACACCG